TGGCTCCACCAAAGGCCGGGTTTGCGCAGCCCCAGAAGGTTTGCGGCCGGATTTAGGCTTTAGGGTTTAGGGTTTGGGGTTTGGGTTTAGGGTTTAGGGTTTAGGGTTTAGGGTTTAGGGTTTAGGGTTTAGGGTTTAGGGTTTAGGGTTTAGGGTTTAGGGTTTAGGGTTTAGGGTTCAGGGTTCAGGGTTTAGGGTTTAGGGTTTAGGGTTCAGGGTTTAGAGTTAACATGAAGTCGCTCTGAATCCACACGCTGCGACCCAGGGAGTAGGCTTTGGGGTTTGCGCTCTACTCGCGTTTTGGGGGCATTGTGTGGTTGCAGTTCTCCTGCCATTTATCCTGGATTCCTGTGGTCTTAGCTCCCAAAATAGACGCTCTGGACAATGATTTTGGATTTGTCTTGAAGCCATGAGACAAACACAAACCGACATGGCGCCCAGATCCGCTTCGGGCTGTGAGGCTCTAGAAGCAATCCTGCCACTAAAACCCTAAAACCCTATGTTGTAGCAACTGGCTTGGTCTTGGCACAGATTGCGGGCGGGCATAAGCCAAACCCAAAAACTCGCCTTGCACTTTCACGCAAGCCGTACAGCAGAGCGCCTGGGATGTAGGGTTCAAGGGCTTCAGTGTTTTAGGTCTTAGGGACTTCTACACTACCCACTTGGAGGTTCATGGGTACTTCTTAACCCCATTGTAGGTATAGTTCTAACCTACTTAGGGGAGCTTACAGGTGTAGTTATAATTGGGGTTATAAGTACCCTGAACCTCCAAGCAAACCCCAAGCCCTGTTCCTTGAAAGCTTCCAGCGTCCTGCCCAGGTGTGAAAGATGCTGGAACCCTCCAACGCCCCAAACCCCCCTGCCCCCCCACCCCCCCAAGCCCTAAACCCTAAACCCTAAGTGCAGGTTCAGGGTTCAGGGTTCAAGGTTCAATGTTTAGGGTTTAGGGTTTACGGTTTAGGGTCTAGGGTTTAGGGTTTAGGGTTAAATGAGGGGTGTGGGGGTGTGGGGGTGTAGGGGTGTAGGGGTGTAGGGGTGTACGGGTTTAGGACCCAGCCTGGAAGGCTCATGAGGAATAGGTAGGGGTTAGAAGTAGGGTGGAACCCAGTAGCCATTCGGTGGAACCACATTAGCTGCACAGAACATCTTGTAACCTTTCATGAAGGTTTTGGGTTTAGGGTGCAGGGTTTAGGTTTTAGGGTTTAGGATATAGGGTTTAGGGTTTAGGGTTGAACACCAACATTTTCAAGACAAGACACCAAAACTCCAAGACACCCCAAAACCATGAATGAACCCAAGAATTTGGGCCTAACAGACCTGGGGCCCCGAAAGCTCTGCAAGCCCTGGCCCTGAACCCACCAGCTCTGCAACACATCCTGCGAGGTGGGGGATGCGGTGGCGGCTACGGCGAGGGCTACGGCTCAAGCCCCGATTTCGGTTTCCGGGTTGAGGGGGAGGAGGCCAGTCATTGTGGGGGGTGGTAGGTTTTCCAGAACTTCACATAGCATGGGCGAGGCACTCCCTCCCCTCACTCATCACCCAGGTCTTGATTCCACATGTACCCTAAACCCGAAGCCCTTTGTGGCGCAAACTGATCCCTTAGTTCCTGAGTACGGATGCTGTCGGGTGGCTTCGTGAAGGTTCATGGCTAGTTGTAGGTCAGATGTACCATTTTGTACCCACATGTGGGTTTAGCTGACAGCTTCTGCCCTGCATAGAACTGCCCATGACCTTCAAGTAGCGGCCGGAAAATCTGCCGTCAGTTCCAGCGCAACCGAACTCGGCCGAGCCCACGGACTGTCTGGGATGATAATTTAATGGCTACCGCCGACCCCCAACTCTAAACCCTAAACCCCAAACCCCAAACCCGAAACCCGAAACCGGAAACCAAACCCTAAACCGTAAACCGTAAACCCGAAACCCTCAACATGGGGGGGGTTGCGGTAGTCAGGAAACGGCAGCAAATTCTACAGGAGGTACGGGCCGAAATCGAGAAACGGCAAAAGCAAGGAAGCAGCACTGGCGCACAGTGCCGAGCCCAGGTGCCAGCAGCAACAAAAGACGGGTGTCGGGCGTGCGCGGCGTGCGGCGTGGGCATGAACAGCGAAACGGGGGCACCGAGAGAGTCTGCGCCGGGCGGCGGCTGCGATCCCGCGCGCGCTCGCTGCCCCGCCGGCACGAAAGCCGATGCGACAGAAGTCAAAGACGGCCGTGTATACGTCTCGTACGAGTGCCCACAGTGCAAGGCCAAGGTCGACTCAGCTGTGCGGGACGGACGCATCGACAATCGACGGAAATGCGGACACATGTTTACGGTCGCCGCAGGAAAAGTCGTCGCGACCCGGTCGGCAACCACACGCTTCTCGTATGAGTGCCCACAGTGCAAGGCAAAGGTCGAGTCAACCGTGCGAGACGGACGCATCGACAACCGACGGACATGCGGACACCAGTTTACGGTCGCCGCAGGCAAAGTCGTCGCGGCCCAGTCGGGAACCGCGCGCTTCTCGTATAAGTGCCCAAAGTGCGACGCAAAGGTCGAGTCAACCACGCGAGACGGACGCATCAACAACCGACGGACATGCGGACACCAGTTTACGGTCGCCGCAGGCAAAGTCGTCGCCGCCCAGTCGGCGACCGCGCGCTTCTCATATGAATGCCCAAAGTGCAAGGCAAAGGTCGCATCAGCCGTGCGAGACGGACGCATCGACAATCGATGGAAATGCGGACACAAGTTTACGGTCGCTGCAGGTGAAGTCGTCGCGACCGGGAGTGCCCACAGTGAGGAGAGTGGGGAGGGCGAAGCGGGCGGGCATGCACTGGGGCCCTTTAAAGTCATCTGATAGGGGCATGGGGCCACGGGGCCATGGGAAGCGTGCGTGGGGGGAAGGGGTGTGTGGGTGGTGGCAGCCAGGTGGGATCCTGGGGCCATGAGCTGGAGCCCCTAAAAGAATGCCAAAACACCCATGAGGTGTGGGTATGTGGGACCATGGGTGCCAGGGGGTCGAGGGCATGGGGGCCATGGGATGCAGCGGCCGGAGGGGGCGGGGGAGAGCGAGGAGGCCGAGCGGGCAGGCATTGGGGCCACGGGGGCACAGGGGGTCGAGGGCATGGGGGCCATGGGATGGAGCGGGCGGAGCGGGCGGAGGGGGCGGGGAGAGCGGGGAGGGCGGAGCGGGCGGGCATGCACTGGGGCCCTTTAAAGTCGGCTGTGGGTGTTGGAGCCATGTGGGATCATGCGGCCATGAACTGGAGCCCTAAAAGAATGCTAAAACACCCATGAGGTGTGGGTGGTGGGAGGCATGTGGGATCATGGGGCTATGAGCCGGCGGAGCGGGTGAAGGGCGGGGCGGGCGGGCATGCACTGGGTCTAGGGGCATGGGGCGCGGGGCCATGGGAAGGGTGCATGGGGGGGGTGGGGGGTCAGTCTTTAAAGGGGTTGGGAGGAGGATGGAGTGAATGGTTGGGAAGGGGAAGGGTGGTTGGTGGTGGGAGGGGCGGGGTGGATTGGGGGTACGGTGAGAGGGCCGGGCATGGATTGGCCTGAAACAGTGGAATGAAGGGGAAGGGTAGTGGGTGAGCCATGGCGGGCGGAGCGGGGGGCGGGATGCACTGGAGGGTGGGTGGTTGGGGCCATGAGCCATGGGTGCCAGGGGGTCGAGGGCATGGGGGCCATGCGATGGACATGGGAAGGGTGCATATGGGGGGGGGGGGAGAGCGGGGAGCGCGGAGCGGGCGGGCATGCACTGGGGCCCTAAAGTCATCTGATGGGGGCATGGGGCCACGACATGGGAAACGTGCATGGGGGGAAGGGGTGTGTGGGTGGTGGCAGCCATGAGGGATCCTGGGGCCATGAGCTGGAACCGGGATCGAGGGCATGGAGCCGGGGTCGAGGGCATGGGGGCCATGGAATGGAGCGGGCGGAGCGGGCGGAGGGGGCTGCATGGAGGTGGGGAGAGCGGGGAGGGCGGAGCGGGCGGGCATGGATTGGGGCAGGGGCATGGGGCCACGGGGCCATGGGAAGGGTGCATGGAGGGGGAGGGTGTGTGGGTGGTGGCAGCCATGTGAGACATGGGGCCATGCGCTGGAGCCCCTAAAAGAATGCCAAAACATCCATGAGGTGTGGGTGGTGGCAGCCATGTGGGATCCTGGGGCCATGAGCTGGAGCCGGGGTCGAGGGCATGGAGGCATGGGGGCCATGCGATGGAACTGGCGGAGTGGGCGGAGTGGCGGAGAGAGCGGCAAGACTATGGGTCTTCACTAGCGCCTCCCCCGCTCAAAGCTGGGGTCGGCGGATAAAACAGATTGAGGGGAGAACCCTAAACCCTAAACCCTAATCCCTGCACCCCAGCCCAGAACGACCGAGGCTCGAGGATTACGAGGCCCAAAGCCTTTTCTTCGGCAAAGCCGGCCGGGCGAAGCCCCCAAAACCAAAGGCACATGGCATCTGGTGCTTAGAACTGCCGAGCGAGTTTCTGGTTCTCCAAGGTGAAGATGGAACCTGGGGGCAGGCGCTGCTCCATTTTCGGGCTCATGTGTGTGTGTGTGTGTGTGTGTGTGTGTGTGTGTGTGTGTGTGTGTGTGTGTGTGTGTGTGTGTGTGTGTGTGTGTGTGTGTGTGTGTGTGTGTGTGTGTGTGTGTGTGTGTGTGTTTGTTTGTGTGTGTGTGTGTGTGTGTGTGTGTGTGTGTGTGTGTGTGTGTGTGTGTGTGTGTGTGTGTGTGGGTGTGTGTGTGTGTGTGTGTGTGTGTGTGTGTGTGTGTGTGTGTGTGTGTGTGTGTGTGTGTGTGTGGGTGTGTGTGTGTGTGGGGGTGTGTGTGTGTGTGTGTGTGTGTGTGTGTGTGTGTGTGTGTGTGTGTGTGTGTGTGTGTGTGTGTGTGTGTGTGTGTGGGTGTGTGTGTGTGTGTACGGGAAGTGACATGGGTGAAAAAACAGGAAGAGTTCAGATCTCCGGTGCTTCGTATTGGGCATCAAAGCCGTAGGGCATTTGGGCCAAGTTGGTGGTATCTTCGAGCTCTCTTAAGGTGCTTACGGTTCTTAGGGCCTTTTAGATTCATTCGGGATATGACCCGAAACCCGAAACCCGAAACCCTAAACCCTAAACCCTAAACCCTAAACCCTAAACCCTAAACCCTAAACCCCAAGGGCCATCAGGGATTTAAAAGGTCTTGGGCCCTTCGAGTCCCCCCCCCCCCCCCCCCAAGGCGTTCCGAAGGTTTGCAGGCTGCAGCCCCAAAGCAGCAGCCATCCCCCGACACCAAAAACCCTAAAGTTACGGTTTAGGGTCTAGGGTCTAGGGTTTAGGGTTTAGGGTTTAGGGTTATAGGTTATAGGGTTTAGGGTTGTTGGCTTTGGATGTTGCTGGTGGTTTGAAAGACAGGGCATCCCGTCGTCCTTGCAACGCCGACTAGCCATTGCCTGATTAGGCAACCCCAGGTGTAGAGTCGAGGGTTCAGGGTTCAGGGCTTAGGGTTTGGGGTTTAGGCTTCCGGGTTTAGGGATTACCCGATGTGCCGCGCAACCGAAACCTAAAAGCCCTAACCTCTTGCTTTTGCCTGTAGTCTGAAAGCGCCAAGCCACTAGACCCCCTCAATCCCCTAAACCCCGCAACTTGGGAAGTTCCCCTTATACAAACAGGGTCTGGGGTTCACCCCCTTGTACGAACAGAAATCCCTATTCATGTCTGTTAGTATAAGGGGGAACATCCCAACCCCGAAGCCCTACACCTTAAACCCCACCACTGTAAGCGCTACACCCTAACCGTCGATGCCTCTTAAAGGGAGCTCCCGATGCGTGGACGAACGGCGCGTACGGTGTGGGCCTGAGTTTGACGAAGCGGGTTTGGGGGTCCATAGGGTTTAGGGTGTAGGGTTTAGGGTAAAGGACCCTGAAGCATCCCGGTCTTACCTCCGGCACTCCCCAAACCTCCAACCTGAAACTCGCCACCCCCTCAGCAACAAAGCGCTAAACCCTAAACCCTAAACCCTAAACCCTCAACCCTCAACCCTCAACCCTCAACCCTCAACCCTCAACCCTCAACCCTCAACCCTCAACCCTAAACCCTCAACCCTAAACCCTAAACCCTTCGTGGCCATCGGCTCCCAGGTGGCGAATGGGACCCGTCCTGGGGTGCAGAGGCTGGGGATGCGGGGGCAGCCTGAGGCTCAACAGCTTCGAAGACCCTAAGCCCCTCCACCCCTGAGGCCTTTTAGGGTCCCTCCACCCCTGAGGCCTTTTAGGGTTTAGGGTTTAGGGTTTAGGGTTTGGGGTTTAGGGTTTAGGGTTCAGGGTTGAGGGTTCAGGCTTGCGGGTTAGGGTTGAAGCCCCTAGGAGCTCCTAAGCAATAAAAATATTCATACTTTTCAGAGGGTTTAAAGGCCAACCCAGTTTTTTCAGTTGCTGATGAAGCAGCCTCTTGGTGGATATCACTCAAGCCCATGGCGTTTGGTAAAGCACACCCTTTATTCACACGATGCCCACGTGGAACCCTTGAACCCTAAGGCCTAAGCCCTAGGCATCTAAGCCCCGGAGCCCCTAGGCCCCTAAACCCTAAACCCTAAACCCTAAACCCTAAACCCTAAACCCTAAACCCTAAACCCTAAACCCTAAACCCTAAACCCTAAACCCTAAACCCCAAACCCCCAAGCTCATCATGCACTAAGCTGCGCCCCACAGGAGCAGTGGGATCCGTCCTGGGGGCAAGGTGATTGGTCAGGCCCTTTGGCCCTCGACTTTGGGTTCAGGGTTTAGGGTTCAGGGTTCAGGGTTCAGGGTTTAGGGTTCAGGGTTTAGGGTTTAGGGTTTAGGGTTTAAGGTTTAGGGTTTAGGGCTTAGGGCTTAAGGGCTTAGGGCTTAGGGCGTAGGGTGAGGACTTTCGGTGTTTTGGGCTTCCGGCCCATGGTCGTGCACATTCTTCTTCCGTCGCTCTTTTCCTGAGGGTTGCGTCTCGTCTCAGGGGTCGCGGGATCGGTCGAGCTCGAGAATAGGTTGATCACTCCTTGGCGTTCTTCGGGCTGGCTCTTAGGGCTTTAACTTTTAAAAAGTCCCCAAAAATTTGGGTTTTCGTAGAAACCACAACAAGGCAATAAGGAGCCTAGAAGTTAAACTTCTCGGAGGGGTTCAAAAGTCAGCCAAGGCTTGGCGGGCCGCAGCTTGCGCTGTGAGTCTTGACATGGCCTTGCATCCCAAATGGGTATTTCCCAAAATAGGGGGGGGGGGGGTTACCCCCTGTTACACCCCAAACAAAATAGAATCCCCTTAGAGGGACCCCCCAAAAAGGGTACCCCTGTTTGTCGGACACCCCCAAAATCATCGTCTTCAGTCCTTTCCAACCCCCCCCCCCCCCCAAACCCTAAACCCCTAAACCCCAAACCCCAAACCCTAAACCCTAAACCCTAAACCCTGAACCCTAAACCCTAAACCCTGAACCCTAAACCCTAAACCCTAAACCCTAAACCCTAAACCCTAAACCCTAAACCGTGCACGCAGGTGGACCTGGATACTAGCAGGCCGGGGGGCCTTACGGCTTAGGGTTTTAGTAGGGTTTTAGGGTTTTTTGCTTTTGGGGTTTTTAGGGTTTTTAGGGTTTTGGGTTTTAATGAGGTTTTTTTGGGTTTTTTTTGGGGTTTTTAGGGTTTTGGGTTTTGGAGTTTTAGGGTTTTTCGGTTTTTGTTTAGGGTTTAGGGTTTTGGAGTTGTAGGGTTTTTCTTACTGGCTCAAAACCCAACTTTTCAACTTTTGGGCTTCTTATAAGTTAGTTTATTCTGAAAGTTTCAACTTTTGTTTCCTTGATTTTTGGGCCAGTAAGTTTTAGGGTTGTCAGGATTTAGGTCTTTTCGGGTTTTAGGGATTTAGGGTTTTCAGGGTTTTAGGGTTTTTAGGGTTTTAGGGCTTTAGGTTTAGGGTTTTGCGGCTGCGTAAGGTTTCTTTGAACCGTAGCTCTCGTCGAGGAGCAGTTCCTCGATATGCTGGATTCCAGCACAGACGTGGAGCGTGACCTCGAAGAGTGGCTGCGACAGACCAAGTTGCAGCTGTTTAGGGTTTAAGGTTTAGGGTTCAGGGTTTGGGGTTTAGGGTTGCCAAGCCGGCCTGTAACTGGGCGCCAGGAGCTTCTTTTCGGAAGCGGCACGCTGCCGCCGCGACTGGTCTCTCTGGGACAAGCTGCCCGGAGCTTCGCCGGTGAGTTGGATGGGCCCTCAAACCTCCCAAACAAGCGTGCACAAGAACAGCTTCAAAACTTACAGCAAGATGACTTAAAGCATATGAAGTAGGGTTTATATTACTGTTTTTGGTGAGTGTATATAAGGTTCCTTTTTGATTTTGGTGAGTGTACATATTGGGTGTCCTTTTGGGGATACAAGAAATATATACCCTACTTCATATGGCTCTGCCCCAGTCTGCCCATCCAAGCAATAACACTACGCCCAGAACCCTGAACCCAAACCGTCACACAACCTAGGACCCAGAGTAGGCCCTTATTATCCCTTATTCCATTTTTGTCCGGTTTAGGTTCCCTGATAAACCCCTTAAACCAACAAAGGGCGCCCTTTTCATTCCTAGGTTACTCTTGGTCTAGCAACAATGCACCCAAGAAGCAGCCAGCGCCAGAATGCAGGCAGATTCTTTACCACTCTTGTCACTCCTGGGATCGGAGCGGGTTCAGCGGTTTGAGGGTTTTAGGGCTTCAGAGCACTTTCCGTTTCGGGTTGGACGGGGGGGGGGGGGCTTTAGGGGATTCAGGGTTTCAGGGTCCTAGGGTTGTAGGGTGTTGGGTTTCCAGGGTTCGGGGCTTTCACGCGTTTTGGAGTGTTGCGTTTTTTTGTTTAAGGGTCCTGGGGTGCGAGGGTTTCTGGTGCGCTCGGGTTTACTTGCCGCGCCTGCAGGTCGTCTGAGCGATGTGAGCGCACTCTGAGACGCCAGAGTAGTGCTCAGCAAAACCTGCCCAGGGATCGCAGTTCGGCCAGGTGGGAACCTAAGCCCACACGCGGAGTTTCAGGTTTGGGATTCAGGGAACCTAAAGCCCGATGAAGCCCTATGAAGCCGTATGAAGCCCCAAATCCCGAAAGCCCAATAAAGCCCTATAAGCCCCCAAAACCCTAAAGCCCATAAGCCCCAGAACCCCTGAACCCCTAAAGCCCGAAGCCTTCAGGAATTTAAAGAACGGTCCTCTGGGAAACCAATGGCTTTTTCCAAGCCTCGGGTGTTTCAGGGTTTCCAGTGTCGGGTTTAAGGGGTTTAGGGTTTAGGGTTTAGGGTTTAAGGCTTTATGGGCTTTACGGGCTTTAAGGTTTAGGGTTTAGGGTTTAGGGTTAGGGTTTAGGGTTTAGGGTGTAGGTTCAGAGACTGTGCCCCCAGCCCTACACCTGAAGGGCCCCAAACCCTACATCCCAAGCCACGCACCAGATAAGGAGCGATTCCAGACAACAAACTTGCCAGCACGATCCAGCACCTAGACGAGGCCCTTATTGAACCTAAACCCTAAACCCTAAACCCTAAACCCTAAACCCTAAACCCTAAACCCTAGACCCTAGACCCTAAACCCTAAACCCTAAACCCTAAACCCTAAACCCGAAACCCTAAACCCTAAACCCTAAACCCTAATCACTTTCTTTGGGGGGTTCAGGTTCCCTTACTAAACCCCTTTAAACCCAAAAGGGGGTCCCTGTTTGTTCACCAGGTTGCTCTTGGTCTCTTGGGTCTAGCATAGCAAAAGAAATCAAGCCAAGAACTCACTTGCAGGCATCGGCATCGCTGGGTCTAGGGTCCTGCAACCACTTCTGCACAAGCTGCGTATGAGACAGGTAGCCAACATGGGCTTCCCACAAGGTCCCAAATCCTCCGAAGCTGCTCGGATGGCTTTGCCCTAGACCCCGAGACCCTCTGCTACAGCCCTGAAAAGCCCTGTAATCCCTAAACCCTAAACCGAAACCTAGCCCTAAACCCTAAACCCTGAGGCTTTTTTCCCTACCAGGGACCAGCCGCTGCGCCCATAATCCCCTAAACTACCCTACAAACCCTAAACCGCCTAACTCCCTAAACCCCTGAACTCCTAAACCAGGGGAGGTTCTGGGAGCTGAAGGCTTGGGGATATGTGTGTGTGTGTGTGTGTGTTTGTTTAGGAGGTTTTTAGGCTTAGGGGGTTGAGGGTTTAGGGTTGACGGTTTTGGGTTTAGGGCCCATGCCTTCACCCAAAGCCCGACTCCACACGGAAGAGCCCGGGGAAGGGGACTTTTGACTTGCAGCAAAGACGGACGCAATCAGGAACTTGCCATTCTCTGGGAACCCCGGGCCCCCTCAAACCCCCTCAAACCCCCCAAACCCCCCAAACACCGCACACCCCTCAAAGCCCCTAAAGCCCCTAAAGCCCCTAAAGCCCCTAAAGCCCCTAAAGCCCCTAAAGCCCCTAAAGCCCCTAAAGCCCCTAAAGCCCCTAAAGCCCCTAACGCCCCAACATCCTGACCTTGCTAGAAGGCCCGTGGCTCTGGGTTCCTGGGTCTGCGGCAATTCCTTTAGCCTAGCGAAAGAAGCGTCTTGCGGTCGGCTATGCAAACGTCAGTCAGTTCAGCCAAAGAAACTCGCAGCAACGCAAGATCTCCAGCTGAAGCACTGCGAAAAGAGGCTCGAGTGCTGGGATCTGCTGTCCTAAACAGGGCCTTGGAGCCCGAAAAACCTTGCCTTCCAATCCCTGTGCCCCCACACCCAAGCTTACTAATTCTTGATAGGGATTTCGGGAATGACCTCTACATATCGCCCGTTTGTTGGACTCTATAGGCGGCCGATTCCTACAAATTCCCGATTAAGAACTAAACCCCGAAGCCCGAAGCCAAAACCCTCCCAACAGAAGTCACGCCAAGCCAGTCCGCCTTGAGCCCCCACCCCCTCCCAAGTGCCTTCCCTCAGCGCTCAACTTCAATCCCCCCACCTGATACCTTCCCGGGCCTGCTTGGGGTATGGCATCATATTTGGGGATTGCCTAGTCTAGGTGACCCCCGACTTGCAGCTGTCATTTACGTAGCTAACTTCGAGCGCGACAGTCCGAAAGCCAGAGAGGCCGATACCCTTATACCCTTGGTAGAAAAGCCCCTGAATTTAGGGTTTGTAGGGTGTAGGGTTTAGGGCTAGGGTTTAGGGGTAGCCACGAAGAAGCCGAAGCCAGTAAGAGCCCCAGAAAAGAAGCGAGGTGACTCGCTTTGAAGTTGGTTGGTCTCTCGCTTTGCGTGCGGGGCACCACCTTTTTTTCTCGTCGACGTTTTAGAGGGCGCCAGGTTTGGTTTCGGATTGAGAGCTGAAGTTCGGAACACATCTAACTAAGGTGCGGGCTGAGACTAATTACAAAACAAGTATCTCTTACCATATCTTACCCGACCCGGCTACTGCGACGAGGCGCAACACCAAAAGCACGAAGCTCAAAGCATTTGGTCCATGCTTGAAACGAAAGCTGTCCAGCCCCCCCCTATGCCCGCAACCACCACTTGCACGTTCACTCCACGAACCAGAACTCCATTAATGAACAAGGTTTAGTGTTTAGGGTCTAGGGTTTAGGGTTTAGGGTGTTTTCCGATCTTAGGCTGGCGGAAGAACCCAGTGAGCATTCGAGACTTCGGCCGAGAGCAGCTTTGGCGCCGCAACACCACGAACCAAGCAACCTCTCGACGTTTCGACCTCTATCCCCCCAAAACCCCCGAACCACCGAAAGCCCCCCCCCCCCCCCCCCGGAGACTCTGAAACGCCCACGCCCCACAGACGGCGACCCTTGACAGCAGCCCTAAGGGTTTAGGGTTTAGGGTTCAGGGTTTAGGGTTTAGGGCTTAGGGCTTAGGATTAGGGGTTCCAGACTCTCCAGAGAGAGTCTAAGCCCCCGTCCAGAGTGGACAGGGGTGGGGTGGAACTTGCGAGGCAATGTCTCAAAGTGAGTTTACGGTGCAGGGTTTCGGGTCACTGGTGTAGGGCGTTGGGGATTTGTAAGCCCAGGGTCTAGGGGTTGTAGCCTTGCCTAGCCCTACCGAAACACTCAGGTTGAACCCTAAACCCCAAACCCTTACTAAACCCTAAACCCTAAACCCCCCTAAATCCCAAACCTAAACCCTAAAACCCTAAACCCCAAGCCCTAAGCCCCAAAACTTCCAACGCCAGCCTGGGAGGGCCTCGGATTTATTCGACTCCAGGCGCGGCAACTAAGACCCAACGTCGCAAGGAGCCCTCATGTAGGGTTTAGGGTTTGGGGTTTGGGGTTTAGGGTTTAGGGTTAGGGTAGTAGGGTTTTAGGGTTTTAGGGTTTAGGGCCCTAAAGCCCCAACCCCTGAAGCCCGAAAGTCTTATCAACAAAGCCCTAATGTCCCTAATGTCCTGAACTGCCCCCCCCCCCCCCCCCCCCCACTTCTCCCCGATCCAAAATGGCAGCTCAGAGAATACCCTGGGCCAGGGCAACCACACTTCGGCGCTACTGCGCACCACGCTGACGATCTCCATCCAGGCGAAACGGGGGAGGGGCTTCTTGGGTTTAGGG